GAAATGGGATTAAGTGTATTTTCTGAGCATTTTTTTTGTAAAAAATAAATTTAAAAAGAACAGTACGCCACATCTTGTTGCCAAGAACTGCATGAAAGCCAGTTTAGGTCCTTAAATTATTGTAAAAGACTGCCCCCTTGTGATCGGCGCTTGATAGGAGTTCCTGCCAGCGACTGGAATTCTACATGCTGGCAAGAAAATGAATAGCTGGAAAGCCTTGAAAGCAAAGCAGAAACAAGATGAGTATCAGGGGAACAATTCCACTAATTAGATCATCGTTTTCGTTAATGGAGATGAAGAGAAGAGAAGCATTCCTGTAATGGTATCTATAACTTAAGAGAATGCAAAAAAAAGATAAGCAAAATACATTTAGCAAGCCGTGTACTTATGGCGATATGATAAAATGTAACGGAGGTGAGGTGCAGCCCGGCATAACGGAGGGAATCTCTGGACCTCGGAAATTAAAAAAAAAACGGCTAAAAATGGCTCAGAAGATGAGAGAACGTCCCAGACAGATATCGGAATCTCAGCGTTGAATATTTAATGGGCCGGTGCCGTGCCCACTCAGAGGGGAGGGAGCATTGCAGCGGAGTACCATCATGACCACTTCACATCCGACTCTACACTTGGGCTCAAATCAAACTCATTCCCATAATCACCGTTTGCTCCTCAGGCGTCAGAGAAGACCCAACGGGAAACATCAGGCAGGCCTTTGTCGTTTAACCCACAATGCGTCCACGACAATCCGTAATAGTTGTCCAAGCATCATTGTGTGCGTTGTGATGGAACCGAACCTCAACCCGGCTGTTGAATCGGCACCGATCAAACATAGTTAACGCGCTCCAACAAATTTGACTTGCACAGCGGAAAATAAAGTGGATCACAAAATGACTACAAATTACAAACAGAGGCACTTAAATCAATTTCCATTTGAAGGAGTTGGCAGTTTAATTACGCTAATTGCACAAGGTGCAGAGTAACTGTTGCTCCACAACTGACAGAAACTAATTGAGTTCCACACATCGTAGCTGCACGCAGCGCTTCGTTTAGTAAGCCGTTGTTCTTTGTTGGTGGAACTCGCATTGTGATATATTATATTAAATATATATATATATTTTTTCACAAGGGATAATTTTCTATCATCCACTTCATCATGGCGTACTGTAGGCTCGAAGGTAATTACATTAAACACTCCCCGATACAACATCTTCCCAATGAACCGTGACAAACTATTTACAACTCAGCGTCCAAACGGAACTGGCGAGCTGGCCACTGAAAGAATCTCGCCCTTTGTCTTTCAGGTTCGGAGCCTCCGCCTGCGTTAGGCCGGTGCTCTTGAGGAGAAAGGAGAAGGGCGAAACCGGATTCTGTCGACGATGCTGAGGTTAGTAGAAAGGCGAGCTGTAGCTAATGGGCGGCCTCCTGAGCATGAAGCTGGGATCTGGATCGCTGCTCTGAGGTGGAGGAGGGACCGGGGCGGGGGGGGGGGGGGGGTCAAATTCTGCTGTGGAACAGAATCGCTGCAACCTGAACTGTCGATCTGCCGATCACTTCCCCGTTGATCCCCGGGCCGAGGAAGGGACAGAGAACCCCCCGAGACAGTGAGTCTGAGAGCCTTCACTGGCTCTTCAGCAGATATGATAAAAAGGCAGCAGAAGGAGTCCAGTGATGCTGCCAAATGACACTTTCCGAAAAAATAAATACACTTTATTGATTTGCTGTTGAGAAGAAAAGTATGATAGAAATGAATAATGGATGCTGTGAAGTGAGTTCGAAAGAAATGCCTTTGCCGTTGCATTCCGTCCAACGACAATCAACAGCGTCGAGTCCTCTGATTGCCTAAAATTGTTTGAAGAAGTTTCTTAGAATATTAGGCTTCAAATCTGTAGTCCGTAAACCAACGGGTGACGGCATGGTGACTACGTCCATCTCGTATCTGGTTTATGAGGTAACGAATATTTTCCCACATGCCAGGAGCATATCTGAATGTGCAATAATATTACGCTTTTTATTGCCTAATTAGGTATTTCTTTTCTCTTTTAACAGTCAATTGCTTTTTTTACTGGACAGTTTTCTCAGAGCTTACATCACTTCGATTTGTGATCTCTCAGAATGCTCTTTGACAAACCCCCAGGGTTTAAAACGACATACTGTCTGCAGAGAAAAAACCTTTAAAGCCTTCAAAGATTTCTGTCATCTTTGATTTTGAAATGTAACAGCACACATACTATTACCATCACTCAAAATGCTTCAGCGGGCTGTTGCATTATCAAAAATGAATCTGTTTTTTTGCCAAAATGAAAAAGCTTTTTGTGGTAAAAAGCTTTAAACCACCAAGCAACACAATGGGCGCAAAACCAATCACTCGTAGCTGTTTCTAACGGTTGCCTTACATGGGAAATTAAATCATTACAAAATCTGTTCTTAGACATTTTCCAACAGCACAGAACAGATTTAAAAGTTGCTTTGAAACTAGGCAACAAAACAGGGAGCATCCTTTTACAATTTCTGCATGGCTATAAATGGATGATTATATTAGTGGGAGACTGAAATGCAGAGAGGTTCAACTTCAAGCAAGACAACTTCCCATAATTAGTCCTATTAGACCCGACAAGGAAATAATTACTTGTCACTTGTGTTGGTCAGGTCTTTAACCTTATGCAAAAACAGGACACCTAAACCAGCAGGCACGCGCGCACCATTTCAGCAAATGATACACAAAGACCCACAAAATGAAAAGATAACAGCATCAGGAGATAACGGGTAGCTACAGTACGTCTAACTCATAAACTCCACAAGTGATTAAAGACTACTGTGTAACAAACAAGGAAGAACAATGTTTCACAGCATATTTAAACCCTCTCATCTCCCCGGTAGTTATTCATGAGGAACTGCTTGAAGATAATCGGGTTTAAAAGGACACCGCTATGCAAGAAATGGGGAGAATGGGCCCAAACTGAAGAAAGAAATCTCCATCTCCATCTGATTCAAAGTAAAACGAAACAAATTTGAGCAGGAATGAGATTTGGACGGCGTAATGGGAGTCACGTCTGTCATTCAACACAGTCTGGTCACTGCCTCCCTCTCATGGTAATAAACGGCAGACTGCACCGCGGTCACGGCTGCTTGTCTTTCAAAAATCATATCAACAGAGGATGATACGATATTTCAAAATCAAGGACGTTGGCCAAATACCCGACTTTCTTTTCTCCATCTGCGATACTGATTGCCTGACCAGGGCGTTTTTCAGATTCTGCTTGGGTAAGATCTGAATAATATCTGCAGAGGAATAACTCCAGGCTGCTGTCAAAGCAGTATTTTGCCCTCTTTTAGGGAACACAATGAAATCCTGATACCGTGTTCCAGCATGCACAAAGCATGGCCTCACAGTGATGGTTAGTTATGAAAGATTGTGTTCAATTTCCTTCAATCCCAAACTACCGCTGCTATTGCTGTTATTGAGACAATTTTCAATCTTTAAAATGTTCTTTCTTAAATTATACTCTTCACTGAAGTAATGATTTCCTTTCACTGTAGAATCATTCATTTCATCCGTGCTTGCACACACAAGAAATGATACCCGGATTTGAATTATTTTCCCTTTCACTTGAAGAGTTCCCATCTCTTCTTTACATTATTAATAATATTTTCCAAACTTATGACTTGTTGGTTTTGGTTCACCGGATGCATCCATGTACATGTTTATACTTCAGAAGCTTTCTTATTTTAACTAATGAAACGTGTCTTTTAAAAAACTCGGGTTGGGTTGCAACTTTTCATTATCTTCGTCACGATTAATCAATTATTATTATCAATTATTCTATCTTCTATATCTTAAAAAATAATCACAATTTCCAGAGAGAGTTAAATATTCAGGTTGCTTTCTTTGTCCTAAAAAGCATGAGACTTACCATCAATGAAGACAGAGAAAAACCCTGCAAATCATGACGTTCAGCCCACGAAGAGCGATGTTCGGCATTTTGACAAAATGTCAATGTTATTAAAAAAGTTGGCATTTACTTGCACTGTCAATCAACTAATCCATATCCAACTCCTCCTTTAAATGCTTGAAACTACAATTCCATCTAACTACAACTTTCACCAATGCAATAGCAATTGTACTACTACTGCACTACTACACTGCATGATAAAAATAATCTAGTTAATGTAAATGGGAATAGAGTGTCATCTACATGCTTTTACACACTGATGTGATTGCAGCTCATGTAACTTTAATGCGTCCATTAGCAGTCGGCACATACCCGTGCAAAGGTCGAGGGAAATCAATAGACCAATAACTGGATAAGGTCAATACTTCTTGGTAATTCGGTATTATTCAATACTCTGCCTGTGTGCTGTCCGATATGCACACTCAAGGGAACATGGGCAGCAGCAACAAAACCGAATATACCAAAAATCCAAGAAAGTGAGTCTGGCTCATCAAATGTGTAACAGCCAAATGCCAAGTTTGCCCCTTTAAGTAATGGGAACTGTTTTTATTATGTCTACTCTGTTTTTTTTAATTAACAATAGAGTCCCATTAATGCAGAGAAGCTGACTCAGCAAACCCTTTTATTTACAGGCAGACACTTGGGATTGTGAATCACTGAATTACGTAACTGCTTCCGTAGCCGTGACTTTCCACAGACGCCAGTTTACTCATTGAAGACTACTATCCTTGCATTACAGTTCAGTCAGTATTACATTTTTTATTGGACGTCCTCATTTAATCGCAATAAACCCCCTTAAGAAGATTCTTCTTGATTCAGCTGCCTCAGCTATATATTCCTTGAGGCGATGTTCCAATTTTAGATCCCCCAACAGAATCAATCAGTCACATCCATCAAGTCTAGTTAAGTCTACCAGACGCACATAAAATACCTCCGGCTCAGCTCGCACTGTTTCTATCCACTTTGTAGTCCGCTGCTACCCAGGAGGAGCAAACAAAGCATACATCAGACACACGTCTCTCTCGCATTGGCGTCTCGGCTGCGCCCTACCTCTCTGAAGCTCTCTGGGCCGCAATCCAAGCCCCTGAAGTTGCACTCCAGCAGCATGTCCTCCATGCGGTGACGCGTGCGGTTGTAGAACTCGTCCATGCTGAATCGAGAGCCCGGCAGGCGGTCCGGCTCCGGGGCGAGCGGGAACCCCGGCGCCATGCCCTCTTCGAAGCCCAGCAGAGGGCCCATGAAAATCAGGTCGCTGTAGCTCATCTGAGACTTCCGGACGAAGTTGTAGTTGCACAAGGTGACGGCCGGAAATGTCATATTGTTGGCCACTCTTTCATCCAGCATGGTGATGTAGTCATATTGGTAAAAGTATATGACCCTGTCGACTACCTGCAACAAGAAAGCGGACAGGGCCATGGTGAAGACCACCGCCCACAGACCCTGGCGGACGCCGAACTTCTTGTCCTCCACAAACACGTGGTTGGCGCCGTGCAGCGTGCAGCCGCCGAAGAAAGCGGCCAGGTCGTCCACCTCGCGGACGTCGTCGCCGTCCCCCTCCCCGCCGTCATCGTCCACCCGGCTGCACTCGTCCAGGTATTCTTGCGAGTCCCTGTCACTGTAACTCTTCTTCACCCGTCGGTAGTGGTCGTCGAAGCCGGCATTACCGTACCCACCGGCGGGCTCGTCGTCGGCAGCGAAGGAGATGGTGCACATGATCCGGACCGGCATGGTGGCGGTGATGGAAAATCAATGCTTAGCGATGAGATGATCAGTCCAAAATCGGTCAAATCTGCCTACTGAGATAAAACCATCAGTTGAAATAATCCTGGCATCCAGCAATTAGACAACCGTAAACAGTGTTAACTCGTTTGGCCTTTAATGGGTTGTCACAGTACTGACCCAATCAATCACATATGGCACCAAACAAAGTCAAAATGTCATCGGCAGCTGAAAAGAGCCGGAGAATGGAATCTACTTTGAGTTGAACGGAGAAGCCGCGTCTGGGTTTGTGTCTCGGGGCGGATCCATCCCATCGGACAATGTGAAGGGGAGAAGCAGAAGAAGCAGAAGAAGAAGAGGAAAAGAAGGAGGAGGAGGAGGAGGAGGGGAAAGAAGGATAGGCCGTGAGGAGGTTAGGACACTGAATACTCCCAGAGGGCCGAGCAACAGGTCCCCTTTCCGGGGCAGAGTTTCACCAATTTACAGGAAAAAAACCCAGAGGTTTTGACGCAGTGGGAGAGAGAAAATGCAAAAGGCTACGTACGGTAGAGAAAGTACAAAATAGGCTCTTATTTCTGCTGATTGTAGTGTTCCACCGGAACTCACTCCCCCCCTCCCCTGCCCCCAAAAAATGATCTCAGCACATTTGTGATCAAATGGAAATAATACTTGGCTCTTATTGAAATTACTACTGCAATTGGAGAAGATTGAGACACGGGACTGTAGAACACAACCTCACATGCAATGGTTTGGTAATAAGATCTGCTCGTATGATGAATTTGAAAGCACAGGAAACAACAACAAATGAGACGTGTGACGTATATGATTCAGGCAGGGCCAATAATAAGTTCATGTGCGATGCCTAATCGAAAAAATAAGCTATTAAAGGGCAACCGCCAAGGAGAAAAGTCGAGGAATGTAATTAAGCCTTCCACTTGCTCATTGTTATTTTCAATCTATCGGTTCATTTTACCAACAGAAAGCCATATGGCCGCTGGCATTTCAGAGGGAAGCAGATTAAATGAAATCAAATATGTACATGTAGTCGGGGGGAAAAGAAAGCCATCCCAACTGCATCCTTTTGTTATTGAATATGGAGTTAAATGCAGATTCCCAGAGGTGGTGTTGGTTTTGATATGAAAAGAAAACGCAAGAGGCCTGATACTTCTGTATCGATCCACCTCCATTAGACAGAGATGTTTTCAGAAACATGATGGTTGCGGTGGATGAAACGTGACGCGCATTTAGGGAGATGACAGCAGCCTTTACAATAAAAGCAGCTAATGATACCACTAGACACCTCTGAGAAGCAGCAACATTAAACCAACGGAAAAAAACATCACCCAAACCGATCCATGGCGTCGAGCTTTTACACCACAACAACCTGCCAGCGTGTTTTCATCGGGGGCCGCGGGGACTCTAACATCAAGTGAGAGGGTGAGAAAGGTGGCAGACTTGGTCAATATGTGCTTAACTGCAACTGTGAGGACGGACCATCACAGGAAAAACAACATGCCCGGCGATAAGCGAGCAGCCGGAGATTTGAAGCCTCGATCCGAAACCTTTGAGTGTGTTTACCAGCAGCGCCCCGATAGCCTTTGGTTCTGGCACTCTCGTATTAGTGATCACTAGATAGCCTCCGACGTCGAGGCTGACCTAACAAGAAGGTCACAGAGCCTCCTCAGCTGCAGCACCCTCGGCCTTCTGATAAGTACCGCTGAATAATTGCATGAGCTAACAGCCTGGATTCGGCACGAGGTGGAAAGTTGTGAAACTGCTGTGGAGGAAAATCGCGCAGCAGCACGGTGACCCTCTGAATAAAGTCCCATGATTAGGTTCACGTACTTCGGGCCAAATATCCTAATTACATTGTCGTCTCGGATTTATTACTGCTCATAGGGTTGCAATACATCTCTGCTTGTTTTGGCAACTGTGTTCGTCTCCAAAGAGATAAATCCAGGCGCGAACGTAATTGTCTTGCTTCATTCTTCATCCGCTTATCGTTTCTTTTCCTGTCATTGCTCAATGCCTTCAGAGCGCGTTCACTCTGCCTCATCATGCATATGGATATGCCCACCAGGGGGCAGCTGCAGCACATCTAATCCTGCACTTTTGGTGGGGACAAAAATACTTTCTGTTTTTTGTATGTGTTGCTACCCGTTTAACGAGAGGGTTTTTACTTTATTTACCAAGGACTTGAGACCAAAAGGACCCTTGATGAAGTAACTTTTTTGACCACAGAAAAGGTGAAATTACAGAATTAAATTAATTAGCCTAAATTGACTTTAAAGATCCCACACATAAAGCCGTGGGCTTTAAAACAGCCAATCCATTTCATCACAACAACCTTCAAACCTGAAATGTAACTTCACCCAGCCCATAAAGTACACAAAATCATCTTAAAACTGAGCAGCCAATAATGGCTTTGACCATTTCCAGATTCAAATCCAGTTGCTATTTGTCCCAAACACAGTTTCTTTCCACAGATGAACCCTCAACTCATGGAACTCAGGGAACAACATGTTTTTTCAGGGGTCATTCTCGAACGAGATCAAAAGGTGGCAGTCTTGCGACGCCAGCGTGCGTGGTCACAGCTGACGGCGCGCGCCCCTCGGGCTGTGATTTTCAACAAGGCCACGCATTTCGACCACGGTCACAGCGAGAAGAGCGCAGGGCGGACGAGAGCAGAGCGCAGGGCGGACGAGAGCAGAGCTTTAACGCTGCCTTTCAAGTCTCTCTTTGCAGCTCCGCTCACAGCTAGGATCGACCTGGCGTTGCCATGGATACATCCTGGCCGTCAGCTACAGAGGATGCACAAAGCCCATTACTCACAACATGCAAATAGTCACACGTCCAAACACACGCATGCACACACAAACACTGTCCAAAATACGGACACAGGAGAGTCCGCGTTGCTTTCACACACATACAGACACGCATGCACACACACAGATAATGAATGGACGCCTTCCCCCTCATAAACGTGATTTGACCCAGGATTTGAAGTGACAGCGAGAGAGTCAAGGCGACAAAATAAAGATATCACAAGGAAGAGCCGGGACACTGAGGGGGAGATATTACTTTTGTAGAGCCAGGGGTTCAATCGATAGTTCAGCATTCACATTCTTAGCTTATCGTGGCATTCAGAGGATTCGGCCCGGGAGAACAGGAGAAACAAAGAGTACGTAAGCCGGCGTCGAGCTTTGTGCATTCCCGTAAGACGCTACAGAATGAAGCAGAGGCCAAAGGCAACGATGCCGTTCTCCAAAACACAATTCTGCGTCCTCACCTTTCAGCCGCCGCCACCGTAACCTGATGCTCGCAGTGTCACGCGCAAAAGCTTCCCTGCAGGGAGGAAACAATATGCAGCGAACAATGACCTATTTTTTTTTTGGAGTGAGTGAGTTGTTGTGGCCAAACAGCACATTTCTCATTTAAAGCGGTACGGAGGTGATGCATGACTTTTTGGCACGTCCTACAATAATGTGTGATAAGAAAAACAGTTGGGCGATAAACACACAGAGCAGAGACGGGGAACCTCCGGTACTGAGAAGTAAAGCCCAAGTCGCCTTGTCTCTACTGGCCATCAGGAAGCTCCTCCGGATGCCATAAGAAGCCCATCGAATGGAAGAAAAATGAGCCCACTTCTCACTTGATCTATTGCTGAAGCAAACTTTGCTTGTTTCAAGTCTCCTCCAAAACAGATTGATTTTCATTTTGTACATTAGGGTCGTATTGAGAGTCAAATGGACCAGCGTGTGCTTCCGGGGCGTGTCTACCTTGTGATTTGGTGTGGCTTTAAAACCCCCATCCACAAACCAGTGGGTTACATCATGACGACTAAATCCATATTTTAGGGTTGTTAAGTAGATTTGCGCAGCATGTAGATAGAAACAGCGTATTATAAGCTAAAAAAGACATATTATTAGGTGATTACTACTTAAATATTATAGTCTATTCATTAACAAAAATCAATATTTATTTTCCACTTTCACCATATTAATCATTTATTCGGTCTACACGTGCTAAGGGTCAATGATGTGATATGTCACATTAAACACACCAACTGAGAGGTTTGGACTTTCAACGTGACCGTGTTCATTATTCAGCATACATCATCACTATGACAAAAGGAAATATTTTACCTGGTTCCCCTCACAGTTTTATGTGTGCAATAGTCATTTCTAATCAGAGGTATGATGCTGAGCCGCTGCTTCTCAGACTGCTGAGTGAGTTGGTTATGCATTCAGATTAACGGATTGTCAGGATGAACCTCAGCCTCACATTACATTAAGCACTTGAAAGTAGGTTTAGTGTCAGTAAATGATAATTTGCTTGTCAGAATTAAGGTTCACAGGTTCATAGAGCCCGAGGATAAATTACTGGTTTGTTCAAAACAACTTGCCATAATTTAAAACAAAAAAATGTTTTAAATGATTAATGATTCATTTAAATTTGTTGAAAACCACCACATTTCAGAGGCTGGAACCATATTATTTTTTATTTTGGCAAAACACAATTACATAAAGGGTTAATTGACTATCAAAATGGTTGCTGACCACTTTTCAGACCACTTTTCAGACCCAAATTTCCTTTGGATGGTATAACTTCACCCAACTTGACTCTCTGCAAAAAGCAACGTGACAACATCTTAAATGCAACACTCTCCAAATCCTTTCATCAGCAGCCAAACAGGATTATCTGCGACCAGCGAACTGCACCAACTAGTTTTGCGAGTTAACAATTTCTTAAATTAACAGTAAGCTCTGCGATCTAAACATGTGTAGTTTGTGTCTTTGACCAATCAGTGCTCTCCAGTGTTTGGTAAAAGAAGTACCTGGTACCATCCCAAAACTGTGAATGGAAAACCAAAAACAGAGCAAACCCAGTTGAGTTTGCTCACTACTCGTGTCATTCCGGTGGCTCAGCGGACATTAAAGAAATGCTAAGTCAAGAGTCAAAACCCGGCCCAGAACTGCCAAATACGATTATATGAAAATGTGTTCAGC